AAAAAAATCAGGAACCGCTGGAATATACAATTGTGTAGAAAAAAAAGTAAGAATTGTGACACAGGAAAGCAAGAGACTCACAGAAATATGCTTAAATTTTTTTTTATTTTTAAGAAAATTCATTAAATATTATTTGCAGGCAGCAAAGATCATCTCATTGATATATAACATTATGAACATCAGTACTGATTTAATCTGTAATGATTATGCTGCACAGTACTGCTCTCTAATTTTATTACAAATATTTTATAATTCCTTTTTTTTCTAAAAGATTTTCTGTAAAATGGATTGAGTAATAAAATAAAAGTAAAATTTAAAGAAAAATAAATATTACTTGATTTAGTATATACTAAGGTTAGTTGGTTTAAATTAGATACAGTAGAGCGCCGATTATCCGAACTATGTCCGAATTCGCTTTTTTTTCCCCTTTCTTCTCTTTTTAAAGTTCAGAATTTTTTTTAACTTATCGACAACTTTTCTAAATTTAGAGGAATAGATAATACCCACTACATCTGAAGACCATATTTAATTTACAACCTTTTTTAGCACTTTCCTTATAGTAGCCATACATACATGTATTGTTATACAGTTAAACCAACATACCCCTTTAGCTCTCTTCAACTGAAAATTATCAAAGAATGCAGTGGTAAAATCAGTAATTGACAAAAAAAATAATAAAAAAGCCGAAATATGATAAAAATGATTCAAATTGAAAAAAAAGTTTAAAAAAATATATTTAAAAATTGAAAAAAAAAAAGTCTTAAACTCGTCAGAGCTATTTCAGATAGTACTGCCAGTCCTAAGTCTAGAAAAAGTGTGAAGGGAAGTTGGTGCATAAATAATAATCATTTAAACTAGGTTTTAAACAACTTTCCAATTATCCGAACCACGTTCGGTCCCGAGCAGTTCGGATAATTTACGCTCTACTGTATTTAAATTTTTTTTTTAATTACAAAGTCATACAAACATTATGTTTTAAATTATTTTAATATTTTCAAAATGCTTTTTTTTACATTAAGATATTTTAACAAAAAATATTTAAAATTCCTTTGTCTTTTCATTTTATATTTAATCTAATGCTACATTGTGTTTTTAAGAGGATGTCATACCATGGGAGTAACTTTTCCTCACAAATTTTGTTTCAATTCCATAACTAGACCTGAAAAATAACTACTCACCGCTGTGGGAAATAAAAAAAAAAAGAGAGAGAGAGAGAGGTAACTTAAATAAAAAAAACTAGTATCTTTCCCCAATCGTTATATGCATATAGTATACATATAACCATTTAATGATCTAAAAACATCAATATTGAGACTCAAGATATCAGAATTTTCAATTCAATGTTTCCATTATGACTTGTACAGTAGTCAATCAAGCTTTTTCTGAGCAGTACCTATTACGTGAAAATTTAGACATAATTTTTGAAAATTAAAAGTTATATAAAAAAATCAACACAAAATTATGATAAATATATGTATTTATCATTTCTCACGAGACACATAATAAAACTTTAAGAAAAAATACTTTGTGAAACTACCGTTTTTTCCTGAAGTTTGGATCAAAATTTTGATTCTTCAGTATTCATCAATTTGGCTTGGAAAGATTCATGTGGAAGGAGAGTTCTATCACAATTCCCATATTTCAAAGTTGTAAGGAATAGATTAAATGTATATTGCCTTTCCAAATATTTAAAAAAAAAGTTCTTTTAATTTAGTATGTTTAACTAATTTTTCACATATTTATATTTTTATTTTTAAATTAACTTTTTATAGTCATATTATCTCTAATATGAATCTTTTGTAAAAATATATTTTAAACTAAGTAAAAAATGTCTAAATGTAAAGCCTGCTATCAATCACAGAAAGAAAGAAAACGGGGGAAACAAATCTTAGAATTTTCTTTTTCCACAACATAATTTTGTTTAAAGTTTCCTTAAGCAAAGCAACCCCTCATTAAAAACAATCATCCCTTCAACACAAACACTAGATCGTGATCAAAACCTTGATTAACACATAATTTTAAACTAAATACTTAAGGTAGTTAAGTACTTTACTTACTTCCTGCTAATTCTAACATCATAATTCTCACACCCTTCTGTCCATGCTGTCAGTTTATTGGCTCCTATAATGTCCTCTTCAATGGATTTACTAAATCAAAATAAAGCATTCACATAATTAAATTTAAAGTTATAAATATTCATAAAAAAATAAGTTTTATAAATACAGGGTTGCCACAGTAAAAAATGAACCATAATAGTTGCTTTTAGTCTCAAGCATGAAAATAGTTGCCTAAAACAATGAAAATAGTTGCCTGAACAGGAACAAAAATCTATCAAAAATAGTAGCCAAATAACTAAAATTATAGCTTAATTGAAAAATACTATGACTAGGAATGGGTGATGTCAGAAATTTTAAATTGTGATACATCGTCAGTTAGACATCGCGTTAAAGTGATGTATCGCGATTTAGCATATGTTCAAAAATTACCTACGGGAAATCTTTCAATTAATCAAAAATTAATAAAAAGGAATAAATCTATTACGAAAGAAAATATTAATTCTAAACATATTCTACTATGACCCCAAGCTTTATTTCATTTTTCTTGAATTAAAAATAATTTAAGATTTATTGTTTTAAAAATAATAATACTGTAACAAAATATTTTACATACATGCAATGAAAATTAAAAGAAAAAAAAACGAAAGTGGAAAACAAACCAAAGAAATGTTTACTTTAGAAAAACACATTTTTTTAAAATTATTTGTTGGAAAAAAAACATGCTTTTGAAGCATCATTAGACCCTTTTTTATTTAATAAATCAAAATAATAAAAGGTAGTATTAACTAATAGTCAAATTCTGTACTTAAAAAATACTTATTCATTATTATTTTCTTTGAAAATAAAATCGACTAAAGATTTATTTGTTTAAAAATGATACTGACTATCTAACAAATTATAAAACAAACAAATATTGAAAGAATTTCAAAAAAAAAAAAAATAAATAAATAAATACTAATGTCGAATTATTAAAAAAGCGACAAAACATTACTAAACTCTTTATTTAATTAAAAAAAATTAGTTGTTTCTTTCTCCTTTTTTTAAACAAATAGCCAAATTTTTTAAACTTTGTTGTAATTTTCTCAAAAATGAAAGCAAACTAAATAAATGTAAGCTTTGTTGTAATTTTTTTATAGTTAAAAACGATTGGACATTTATTGGTTTAACAATAATTAAATTATTATATTACCTACATTTAATAGATTTAAATAAAAACCATCACAATTCCCATATTTCAAAGTTGTGAGGAATAGATTAAATGTATATTGCCTCTCCAAATATTTAAAAAAAAAAGTTCTTTTAATTTAGTATGTTTAACTAATTTTTCACATATTTATATTTTTATTGTTAAATTAACTTTTTATAGTCATATTATCTCTAATATGAATCTTTTGTAAAAATATATTTTAAGCTAAGTAAAAAATGTCTAAATGAAAAGGTTGCTATCAATCACAGAAAGAAAAAAAACGGGGGAAACAAATCTTAGAATTTTCTTTTTTCACAACATAATTTTGTTTAAAGTTTCCTTAAGCAAAGCAACCCCTCATTAAAAACAATCATCCCTTGAACACAAATACTAGATGGCGTGATCAAAACCTTGATTAACACATAATTTTAAACTAAATACTTAAGGTAGTTAAGTACTTTACTTACTTCCTGCTAATTCTAACACCCTTCTGTCCATGCTGTCAGTTTATTGGCTCCTATAATGTCCTCTTCAATGGATTTACTAAATCAAAATAATTAAATTTAAAGTTATAAATATTCATAAAAATATAAGTTTTATAAATACAGGGTTGCCACAGTAAAAAATGAACCAAAATAGTTGCTTTTAGTAGCCTCAAGCATGAAAATAGTTGCCTAAAACAATGAAAATAGTTAGTTGCCTGAACAGGAACAAAAATCTATCAAAAATAGTAGCCAAATAACTAAAATTATAGCTTAATTGAAAAATACTATGACTAGGACTGGGTGATGTCAGAAATTTTAAATTGTGATACATCGTCAGTTAGACATCGCGTTAAAGTGATGTATCGCGATTTAGCATATGTTCAAAAATTACCTATGGGAAATCTTTCAATCAATCAAAAATTAATAAAAAGGAATAAATCTATTACGAAAGAAAATATTAATTCTAAACATATTCTACTATGATCCCAAGCTTTATTTCATTTTTCTTGAATTAAAAATAATTTAAGATTTATTGTTTTAAAAATAATAATACTGTAACAAAATATTTTACATACATGCAATGCCAAATTTAATATGAATTGTATATTGGGAGAGAATATATATATTTCTAACTGAAATGCTAAGTAGAAAACATAAGTTAGTTACTCTAAGTTATGTCACAATTAGAGCAAATGAACACATAAAGAATAAGTGTTGAAATTTAAAAGTATTGTTCATTGGTTTAAGACTCAACTTAAAAAAATTTTTTTTAGAGAAATCAGCTATTTCAAAATTTATGAAGCATTCAAAGACAAGTTTTTCCAAATATCCACTGATATTCATAGCTTTAAAATTTTTGTTAATATATTGCTGTGTTAATAAAGCAAAATTGCATTAATACTCGGACGGCAATAAATTATAGCATTTTCTAAATAACAGTTTAATAGAAAAAAAATTTTGGTAAAAATTTTTTAGAACTACGAACAAAGTAAAAATGTTTTTTTTTTTCATCCTTCATTTACGTCTTCATTACATTATTTGAAAGAGAATGGATTTATTTTGCAAAAAGCATTTCAACTAATTCCTATAAAATACAGTCCTTATACACCATATTTTCATTATAATATAGGAATGTCACCTTTTTAAGTGAAAATACAGCAGGTAGATTAACTAAGAGCCACACATGTATTTGCTCATGTAGACAGCATATATGTTAATTTTTATGTTCTACAAATTGTTATCAGTAAATTCAGTGTAATTTTTTATTAGTAAACTTAAAAATATGTGTTCGGAAAATCAAATACTTTTAATTGTTAGACACAAAATAAAGAGCATGAAGAAGTGGTTATNCAATTCAAGAGTCTGAATATCGTATTAAATGTAATCAGGATTTTAATAACCACATGGCGATAGTAGTTTTAACTGCCTAAAAGCAGTCAAACCCAATTTGAATTTATAAGAAATCGGAGGAAATAAGGTAAAACTAAGCGTAATCATTGAAATTTGCATAATAACACAACAAAAATATTTGCTTTTTTAAACCCATTTGAAATTCCAGAGCAATAACAATGGAAAAAGCAATTGAGAAACAATATAGATTTACTAGTGTTTAGAAGCTTTCCCTTGTTGCATATCAACAGTCTGCAGGCTACATCTGGCTCACTAGTCGCAGGCTGTGCACCATTCTAATATTTCAAATATAGAGCAAAAGATACAGCATTAAAATAAATAGAAGTAGATACCTACACTAATAAAAAGAAATCTAATTATAGATGAAAAAGCTGAAGATAAATTCAAAATGCCTTCTGTTATAGTGATTTTATTTTAAGCAAACAACTTAAAATTTTTTAAATTTCCTACATTTTCTTTTTGTTTACTTTGCAAAATAATTTTTTAAATCCCTGCTGTGAATTCGTGAATTAATTATAAATCAATTTAAACATTTCTAATGTACACACACAAAAAAAAAAAACAATAAAAACAAAACATAACAAAAAAAAAATTGTTGATTACATTGATATAGCAATGCTCAACAAAATTAATGATTTTTAAAATGTTTTAATCCTTACATATTAATTAAAAATAATTTTTTTAAATGTATTTACTTATTTAAAATTATGCAAATGCCATTGACAAATCAAGCATGTTATTCAAAAAAGTTTCAAATAAATATAGTTAGATTAAAAATAAATATTTGAAATAATTGATAGGCATTTATAGACTCTAATTTGTAATATATTTTTGGTAATTCTAAATCACAAATTTGAAAATTAGTAAGAATATTGTTCATTATTAAATACTCTGAAATTAAAAACTCACAAGTTTTGTTTGCTTAATATTTCTATTAGAAAATATTATCTTAAATAAAATAAAACAGTTAATTTTTTTTTCTTTTTACAAAACGCCTTTATTTTAACATTACATTTCAATAGAATAGGATAAAAGCAAGCCAAAATTTTAATAATAACTGCGAATAAATAAATTTCAAAATAAAATAAAATTATTTTAATAGAAA